CTTGTCGTCTACTTTAAGTGTTATATCTAAAAAAATTAATCTCATTGTCTTTGTTGTTCGTCTTTTCTATCTCTAATGAACTGCGACAAATTTCTTTCAGGCAATTTGCAAGCTCCGTTATGTCATTAGACAGATGCAATATCCTATGTGTCAGAATATCGCAACCCCTTCTGGTAATACGTGAGGAATTAGGATCATTTCCTATTCCACAACGGGTCTCAAACTTTTGAAAGTCTCCACACTGTATAGTTGGACTTTTACGACAGCAGATTTTGTAGTAACGGCTTTGATAAATGATGTTCCAAACACGGGATTCCTAATGAAGTCCAACCGTGGTTAATTGTGAAAATGAATGGAAGACTGGTCATTTCCAATATGTTTACTACAAATTACAACCACAAGGCGAATGGGCAAGTCGAAAGGATGGTTAAAGTGATAATAGATTCTCTTACAGCTTACTGTCAGAATGAAGAGCTATGGTCTAATTTTCTGCAGCCTATTGTCTTTGCTTACGACACTAGTATCAATGATACTACAGGATATAGCCCGTACTTTGTTGCATATGGTCATCCGATTACCTGGTGTGACATAATCCATCAGCGCTACCGTCGAGAATAACCTACAACAGATAATATCCCAGACCAGCTGTCAATCGCTTTACAGACGACAATTATGGAAGTGGGTACCCAGATAGCAAACAACGGCTATCTACATATCAGGTTACGACTTTTATAATAATGTTTTCTCAAAGGACATTTCGCCCTGTTATTTAGTACTACCCAGAGACGACGCAGTTTGTCCAAAATTCATACACCGATGGGAAGGCCCTTCTCTTATTGTGACTGTTGCCCGTCCTGTTTCTATTACTAACCTCCTTGGACGACGTAATAAGCAAACTGTTATGATTAGTACCTGTTCTCACTGTCCGTCACTGGCTAAAGGTTCCGCCCAAAAACCCACTTTTAAAACAACGCCAACATTGGAAACTTTAGAAAATGAGAAACAGCCACCGCCTGGATCTCATAGTTCACAGCTGAAAAAGCAATCTTTAACAACGGCTGTCTCATCACTTTTTCGAGAGAAAACTATTGAATAAAAACAATAATTACTGTTTTGCACAATCTGTAGTTATTCTTCGAAAAAAGTTTATTTTATAATTGCCGCATCGCACTCATTTACTACGTATTTCGAACGGGCATTTCAAAAAAATCATCTTAGATAAGCAGCATAAAACAAAACATTTTAGAGTATCCAAATTTCTTGCCTTTACGTTGAGAAAAAAGTTGTATGCAATATTTATCCCAACATTTGACTCGCATTGATGTAATGAATTTATGAAGTATCATAGTTCTTAATTAGGTAGTCTATAGCTAAATTTGTCAAGTCTTAACTTCATGGTTCAATTATGTGCCATCATGATACCACTCTTAAAACTCGTTCTTACAAGCTTTGCCATTGTTAATATACATATACACCATTTCATTACATTGTAACTGGAAAGAATGTCAATTAGTAATGTGTGAGATAATATGTATGTTTTCTCTTTACCCAGTTTATCTGTACTCAATCCCGCAACACAAGAAACGAACAATATGCTCTTCCAAAGGAATGAACATACCAAACAGCCTCTTCTCTATCCTTATAGTGTCTCCCAAGCCTTTAATGGTATCCTTCCAAATCGAGAACAAGCTTACTCGATGCGCCGGGATAAGGTGACGGTCGTGACTGTTGCCGCAGTTCACCGCATTCTTATGCTCGTGCACCATCCAGTCCTTCAGCTCAACTCCTCGCAAGACCACGTTAAAGCCGCTCACAATGTGTACGCAATAACACATCCGGCACACCACGCCATTGAACTATTCCATCAAGCCTATCATATCATACGCTCGAGGACGAGTTCTTGAAGGGACGGAGATGTCGGGGTGCAAGATCCCAGACGCAGCGTAACATCATAAATCATTCTGAGGGTTGGACCTAGCGGAAGCGGGACTCGGCAGTGAGCTCCGCTATATTGGCACCAGCCAGTTGCTTCCTCCTTCTCCTCCTCTTCCTCCTCCTCCCCCTCCCCCCTTCCTCCCCCCTCTCTCCCACCTCTCTCCTCCATGCCCCTCGTCTCTTGTGTACTGTAAGTATCCATGAATAACATAAATATAGAAGATGTATGTATTACACTCCCACCAATCGAGAAGAGAATCGATTACCCCTAACTTGATAGTCAGCGGGAACATCCGACGATGCGCCTCTGCAGTTGACCGTTCTATGCAAAGGCAAAAAGCATCTGTAAAACCTGTAAAGTGGGCTAAATAGAAGGACGCATTTATCGTGTTTGTTACATACACACTTTCTTGATAGAAGCTGTCAACAAAGGTTTTCCAACTTACTGTCCGTGATTCGATGTACATCGTGATTGTAGATAGCAGTTCTCTAGCTGTCAAATTGTAGTTGATCAATTATAGAACTATGTTAGTGAACCGTAGAGTACAGAGACCAAAGTACTGGAAACGGTTAGACCTGTCAAATACCCTTTATGCAAAAGTGTTTCTCGGCATTTCCGACTTTGAGTTTTCTGAACACAACTACAAATTCAATTGTGAAATTGTCAAAACAATTTTTTCTCTTTTTTTGAACTGGCGGGGTGCTATAACTGCTAGAAGATCCCCGAAGAATTGTTACGAAAACAATTTCTATTGGAACTTTAATGATTCTCGTAGTCAAGATGTCAGATTACATTCCTTAGTAAAGTTATCGAAAAATTCGTAATTTAGAAATTCGAGGCACTGATAGCGCAGAGCTTTTAAATCCTACAACTGAAAAGAGCGGCTTAGTCACTAAACGTGTTCCATAAGCCATTCAAATCCTCTTAAACGATCTTACGCGTTAATGCAAACTAATGTTCGAAAGCAGAAAGACGCCATTTTTGGAGACAGAAAAGACTGCATCATTGTGAAGAACAAGAGACCATTGCCTTTATAATTTTTCTTTAACCGTAGCAAGATATAACAGATTTGAGATTATGCACCAGACCTTCCTTACT